GTGGGGCAGCGCGATCCGCCCCCCTGACATCTCCGCCGGGGCGGTCGCAGCTCAGCGTGGGAACCGCAGCGGGGCCCGGGCGTGGCGAGGCATTGGGGGTCACCTCCTGGGCTCAGGGGTTTTGTGGACCCCCGGGTGGGTGCCCAGCCACATCTCCCCGTAAGGACGGAGGGCGCCGTCCCACCAGGCTGCTCCTCGCCCGGGGTTCCCGGCCAGTGCCGAAATTGCCACCGACGGGGTTGTGGGCGAGCGGTAGTGGAGAAGAGTTTGGGAACTGCCTCGCCTGTGGAAGTCACCGCTCAAAGCAGCGCTCTCGGGCACCGTCTGGCTCATCAGGCGGGTTGGAAAGGCTCCTTTTTATTATTTTTTTAAAAAGCAGTGGAGTCGCACCTCCTCCTCGCACCTCCTCCTGCTGCTACCACCGACAACAAACGTGGGGGACGGAGCAGTAAGGATATCCGTGCGGGAAAGCCGCCGTCCTGGGCTGACCCCTGAGGCTGCGACGGGGGCTTTGCTGGTGGGGCTGCCCCAGAGCCAGGGAAGCTGTGGCTCTCCTCGCCTCCCTCCTCCTCCTCCTCCTCGTTCGTCTCTAATACACGGGCTGAAGCGGCATCTGCTCTGCTGTGAAGCTTTTTGTGTTTTTTTTCATGACCGTTTTCCTGTGGAAGCGACTGGCTGGAGCCTGGTGCCTGGGCAGCGCGAGCCCAGGGGAGCTGTGCACCTCTGCGGGGGGAGACGGGCTGGTGCCGGCGGTGGGGTTGGAGGAAAGTTTTCAGCGGTCCTCGCGGCAGAGGAGACCCAGCCCGTTGTCAGCTCGCTGTGCCTTTCTCATCGCTCCCTGTCGCTGTGCACCCCGCTCCTGTGGCCTGTCTCCGCCACGGTGAGGATGTGCCTGATGCTGGCAGAGCCTTACACGCCGGGTGCCCACAGCCCCTTCCCAGTGCCGGAGCCTCTGATTGCCAAAAGGGTTTCCTTCAACGACGGGCCAAAGGCGCCCATCTTCTTCCCAGCCACAAAGTTCCCAGGAAAGTTTTGACTTTTCCAGCATTTTATTAAAAAAGAGCTTTCAAATTAAAAAGAAACTACCAAATCAGCATCTAGCCTGTGCACCGGCACCTGGCCTTTTCCCCCGGCTGGGTCTGCGGCGCGGCCGAGCAGGCTTTGCCATTGCGGGGGCGTGGGTGCCGTGGTCCCCTCTGCCCCGGGCTGATAAGAGCGCGTGGGGAGCGAGCAGGGCTTCCCAACGCAACAGCGAGTGCTCGGTACTTATCTGCCTGCGCAAACGCCCTCTGCGGGGGCAAAGATAACGGGGGATGCTGCGTGCTGCCGACGGTGGCGTCGGGAGGGGAATGGCTGGGAGAGGAGCTGGAGGGTCGTTCGTGCCCGGTGTCTGTGCCGTAAGGGTAAAATCCC